ACTGAGCAGGCTGATTGGCTGTTTCTCCAAAGGGTGCCAAAGGCATGTTAGGGACCCTGGGATCCAACAACAAAGCAGACACCACCTGCCATGCCTTTTATCTTTGGGCACAGAGCAGCAAATAGCCCAAGAGAGGCTGTTACTGGCTCTAAGTGGAGCCAAGAAACTGGGGGTGGGGAGTGGGATGAGACTTGGGGTTTATAACAGATTCTGACCTTGGCCATTTCTCCCCATTCTCGCTTCCAGATCTACCCAGACCCAGAGCTGGAGGTCCAGGTGCTAGGCCTGCCCATCCGCTGCATCCACAGTGAGGAGGGTTGCCGCTGGAGTGGGCCACTTCGTCATTTACAGGTGAGGTTCTATTGGTGGGGGTGGAACTACCCCATCCTCGGCAGATGCTGACTGCAGTTCTTCCCACCAGGGACACCTGAATACCTGCAGCTTCAATGTAGTTCCCTGCCCCAATCGCTGTCCTGCCAAGCTGAGTCGCCGTGATCTGCCTGCACACTTGCAACACGACTGCCCAAAGCGGCGCCTCAAGTGCGAATTCTGTGGCTGTGACTTCAGTGGGGAAGCCTATGAGGTGAGTGGGTCCTGGCTGAGGGTGAAGGGAGGGTGGGGCAGCAGATGGCCCAGGCATCCCTTAACTCAACCCCTCCATCATCACTACAGAGCCATGAGGGTATGTGCCCCCAAGAGAGTGTGTACTGTGAGAACAAGTGTGGTGCCCGCATGATGCGGCGACTACTGGCCCAGCATGCCACTTCTGAGTGCCCCAAGCGTACCCAGCCTTGTACCTATTGCACAAAGGAGTTTGTCTTTGACACCATCCAGGTAAGGCCTTTCCTGAGCTGTAGGTTGTGGGGTAGAAGATATAGGGGTCAATCTATTGACTGCTATCTATCTTTGTGGTCCCAGAGTCACCAGTACCAGTGCCCAAGGCTGCCTGTGCCCTGCCCTAACCAGTGTGGCGTGGGCACTGTGGCTCGGGAGGATCTGCCAAATCATCTGAAGGACAGCTGTAGCACTGCCTTGGTGCTATGCCCGTTCAAAGACTCCGGTTGCAAGCACAGGGTGAGATGCCCCTTCTTCCTGTAAACCCCTCTTTAGCCCATGAAGTCCTAGATGAAGGCTAGGTTTCCTGGCAGTTTAGTTCTTTGAGGTCCTTCCCCCTGCTGTTCGCTGCAGGTTCTTCCTAGCACCCTGTCTTCCTCATGCAGAGTTGGGCGCCTGCTACCCCTGCGCCTTCCCCTTTTGGTAACAGTCCTCCCTTCCCTCATTGCCTGGGGCTTTGCCAACAGTGCCCTAAGCTGGCAATGGCGCGGCACGTGGAGGAGAGTGTGAAGCCACATCTGGCTATGATGTGTGCCCTGGTGAGCCGGCAGCGGCAGGAGCTGCAGGAGCTGCGTCGAGAGCTGGAGGAACTATCAGTAGGCAGTGATGGCGTGCTCATCTGGAAGATTGGCAGCTATGGGCGGCGGCTACAAGAGGCCAAGGCCAAGCCCAACCTCGAGTGCTTCAGCCCAGCCTTCTATACACATAAGTATGGTTACAAGCTACAGGTGTCTGCATTCCTCAATGGCAATGGCAGTGGTGAGGGCACACATCTCTCTCTGTACATTCGTGTGCTACCAGGCGCCTTTGACAATCTCCTTGAGTGGCCCTTTGCCCGTCGTGTCACTTTCTCCCTGCTGGATCAGAGCGACCCAGGGCTTGCTAAGCCACAACATGTCACTGAGACTTTCCACCCTGACCCAAACTGGAAAAATTTCCAAAAGCCAGGCACTTGGCGAGGCTCCTTGGATGAGAGTTCTCTGGGCTTTGGATACCCCAAGTTCATCTCCCACCAGGATATCCGAAAGCGAAACTATGTGCGAGATGATGCAGTCTTCATCCGTGCCTCTGTTGAACTGCCCCGGAAGATCCTCAGCTGAGTGCAGAGCTGGCAGGCTCAAGGGGAGAAGGGGGGCATGGATGGGACATGACTTATCAGGCACTGGTTGAACCTGGAGAGGGGGCCGGACCTCCTTTCAGCTGCTTATGCTGCCTGGGTTGTTACCCTGTTCTCCCCCTACCACTACCACCCTCAGGTGCCTCCAATTGGTGCTTCAGCCCTGGCCCCTGCGGGGAGCAGGTCTCTGGGTTATCAAGGGCTGGAAACAAGTGATCCCAGGGCCTGTCTCCCCTCCTGGGCAGGGCAGGTATGCCTTGGTGCCAGCCACATTCTACCTGGACTGAGGTACCTGCTCAGGTGCTATGTCCCAAGAGCCATAGGGGGAGGGATTGGGAAAAGGAGGGGTAGTTAAAAAAAAAAATCTGTCTTGAGATTGATTTTTCTTTCCCCAGCTGTGTCCCTTCTGGTTATTTATTTCCTTAGCACCAGGAAGGCACAACAGGGGAGCCTTGATTTTTAATAAATCCTGAATTGTATTTATTAACTTGGTTCCAGCCTGTCTCCTCCGAGTTAGTTAAGTCCCTGGGAGGTTGGGGCTAACTATGCAAAGGACCACTGAGAGAAGTGCTGCCACTATGACCCCAAGATCAGCTGCCCTGCTGGGTCGCCCTCTGGTGGACACCAGGGGGAACCACAGCAGGCTTTGGAAAAGACCTGTTGCTGCCTCCTGGTGGTTAAATGGGAAAGGTGCAGGATAAGGCTGGAATCCCCAGTTCTTTACTCACCAAAAATCAAATGCTACATCATAAGCAAGCCCCAGCCCCAGGCCTCTGGTACTGGGGATTGAACCCAGGGGCACTCTTAATAAGCTACATGCCCAACCCTTTTTTATTCAGAGGGGTCTCAGTTGCTGAGGCTGGCCTTGAACTGTGATCCTCTGCCTCCTGAGTTGTATCATCAAGCCTGGCTCCTGATGACAACTGTCATTCATTTAGTACTTTCTGGTTACAGACACTGCCAAGAACTTGATGCAAAATATTTCTTTCCGTATAGCAGTCAAGTTAAATTAACTTTTACATCATAGTAAAAGGACCTGTCTTAAATGGGCCTTATTGAAGTTAATGAGACAATACATGTTCCTGACATTTATTCTAAGTGCTTAACAAATGTTGACCTAACTGAAGCCAGCCTATACCTGGGGACTGAATAGAGGTGTCTTCAAGATGTACAAGGCAAGCTAGGTTTGTGGCTCAGTGGTAGAGCGCTTGTGGGAGACCCTGGGTTTGATCCTCGGCAACATAAAGAAAACAAAGGTCTACAGCTAAAAGGAAAAGAGAGATACAAGGCACTTGAACCTTTTTGTCCATCCTTCATATAGGCCTCAGTGGCCACCTGCAGTCACCCATACTTTACCAGTTAGGAACATTAGTGAATTATCAGTACTCTTTCAGCTGGTCTAGGACAGGGCTGAATTTCTTTTTTCCCCTGGTGCTGGGTACTTTTGTGCATGCTACCCATATGCTCTACTGAGCTACAACTCCTGCCCCAAGAATTTTTTAAAACTCCAGAAATATCTGGAAATATAGCTCCAATTCTGGCAATACACTTGGGCTTGCGTTTGGCAAGTTTCTTAGCTACATGGGAATGAATTCTGCTCAATTCTAGATTTTGTTTTTTTTTGACACAGAGAATTTTAATATTTATTTTTTAGTTTTCGGCGAACACAACATCTTTGTTTGTATGTGGTGCTGAGGATCGAACCCGGGCCGCACGCATGCCAGGCGAGCGCGCTACCGCTTGAGCCACATCCCCAGCCCTCTAGATTTTGTTGAAATGATTAAATGAACTAATCAAAACCTGCCTTAGTGGTATTGTTTAGCCTTGGGAAGAAGCCCAAATTGTGGAAACTTACCTAGTAAGGGAAAGTTAAGGAATTATTTTTGTCAAAGGATAATGTGAAAAAGCCATTTATCAGCTGACAGGGAAGGACTAAGCCAGAGCCTGGGAGCTCTCCCCTAACCATCTTTTCAAAGAAGGTACATTTCACTACCAGAAGTTGGAGCCCTACCTGAGGAGACAAATCAGCGTAGTTCAGTGATACCTGGAAATGCCTCTACCAGGCAACAGGTGAAACTGCCCTTCCGGCATCTCAGAGAAACTAGAAAGCCTGAATCAAAGCTGGGTGTCCTCTGCTGCCAGGACGCTGCTATTGCATGATTCCAGGAGGGGCACATTGATATGAACTGCCTCTAGAACTGTACACAAATCATGCAGTTGACACCTACAATCAGCCTGGTAGGGCTGGCTCGCTCTCCAGTGCCAGTTATTATTACTTTGTGGAACTAGGGCCAGGTTCTGCATCAGTGTGTGCCTAACTCCCAAGTTGTCTCACCTGCCACTGCTTAGCTCCACATGACTTGGTGGACTGCCAAGACTCCTCTGAGGATTTCTTACGGTAACGAGGAGTAAAGGGGGCAATGCATCTTTTTTGTACTGGAGACTGAACTCAGGACTTAGGTAAGCACTCTTATCACTAAGCTACATTAATTGTTAAGGCTAGCATTTGCACCACTGCCTGTAATCCACAGTGGTGTTTACCCTCTTGCACATAAATGAGGTAAAGTTCTTTAGTAGTCAACTGAGGAAATTTAATTCACCAAAGGAGCTTTCATGTTGCAGACTACAGCACCTATTACCTCCACCTCTGTCAGAGGCCCTCAGAAATTGCAAAGCTGAAGCAGGGAGGAGAGAGGCCTAAAATTTTTTGGTTCTCTTATGGGCAAACCAAATCTCCATTCTTAACAACTCATGATCCTTGTAGTGAATGTGGCAGAATCTTTTGGGCTGCTAGCAAGAGGCAGCAAACCATACTTACCCAACAAATTTGACAGGCCCCGGCTTGGATGGAGGGCTGCCATCTCTCTCAACCCCCTGGGGGAGTCGCCACAGCATGTGGGCTGGACTAATATGGGGACGGTTTGAGTGGAATTAATATTACAGGACCCTACTACCACCAGCACAAGTAGGGAGACAAGTTAGAAAATGACATAAGAAAACATCACCTCGAACATTCACCAAAGTAAACGAATAGAACAAGGTCAAAAGGTGAGTTTTTTCTTTTTACTGGTTTATAATAATCTTAAAAACCCCATCACACCCATAAACCACCACAGGTGAGGTGAGAGATGGAGAATGAATGCTACAGTATGTGGATATAGAGTGGGGAATCCAGGTATTCCCTAGGGGTGGCATGGGATGTGTGGATAGGAGGCAGGGAGTGTGGGTAGGAGGCCCTGGCTTGGACCCTTATTGCTGGTTGGGGGTTGGCTGGCAGAGGAACAGGGGACTCAGGTTGAACTAGGAAACATCTCACACCAAAGGCGAGGGTAGTTCGTTGGGGGTGGGGGATCACAGTACATTTTCCATGCAGACTAGGGGTGGGAGTGAGAGCTTCAGAGACTTGCACCCCTACACAGGAAGAAATGGGTTTGAGGTTGTTTGACTTAAAACCCCCAAATTGGTGTCTGGTCCGGTTTCCTAAAATGGCAGCTCACCTTTTGGGGAGAGGGATGGGGAAGGGGGTTACAGCAAGAATATCTGATTTGGAAATCAAGCAAGAGATAAGGGTAAACAGTAGTGCTCATTAAACTTGACTCAGAAAAGCAGGACTAGAAGGGGGCCCTGGGTGAGACAGTGGCCAACACCTGGGGAGAAGGCATCCACCAGAAGCTGCAGGGGCTCCTGAGGGCTCAGGGACAAGGGGGGTACCAGTGTACACAGACAGTAGGAAAACAACTGGGAACAATAAATTAGGACTTCATGTTGCTATCATTTGGCATAACACAATCAGGCAGTTTTTTCCTTTTTTTTTTTCTTTTTAAATATAAGGCAACTTGCCAACACATAATTTAAAAACTGGTCTTCAGTCACATTGCTTCAGATCACTAGAGAATTTCTGGCTAAGGAACAGTGGATAGTAAACAGAACCCAAAATTTTAAATATCAGCTTACATTCCCCAGAGACAGGAGAAAAGGTAAGGGCTTATTTGGTTAAAAAAAAAAAAAAAAAAAAAAAAGCCCATTGTGCATCTTTAACAGAAGATGGGTGCATAATTTACAACAAAACAAAATCTAAGTTTAAAGTTACATAAAAGTGTTAAATTTCTAGCCAACTAATTGTCACTTGGGAATGAGATGTGTTGAGCATGGAGTAGGTGGGGGATGCTCTGAGAATGGACTGTGGTAGGAGGGGCTGTTTCCAATATAAGCCCATCTCCACTAGTTAAAATCATGCTCATTTGGTTGAGGAAGAATTCAAAGAGCTTAAGGCTTTGTGTTTGTTTTTTCTTTTCTCTCCTTTCTTCATTAAACTGAGGGGCTGCAAAGGAGGTGATTAGGAGGGTGAATGTACCTGTGGGGCCACTCATACACAATGCTACTCAAACCCACACTACATTCATACAGAAACATGACATTTAAAACTTACAGTGTAGAACAATATTCTTAGCCAGTGTAGAGAGAACCAAATGCATTTTTTTTCTTTCTTTTTTTCTTTTTTGTTTTTGGTGTTTTTAGTTTCAAACTCCAATGTGATCATCCCTTACCTACCTAATTCCTTGAGTAAGATAGTTTTTGTTCTGCTTTTCTGGAGGGCAGAGGGGAGAGGGTAGGGGGATAAGGACACAGTTAAGTTAGGAGAGAGGCAACAGTGAGAAGGGGTATGCTAGATGGCCACTGAATTTCTCCAGGTCTGGAAGCAAAGTCAGGAAACAAGATGCCAATACAAAGACATTTTTCTCCATGTAGCAAAGACTATGGCCAAATACCTGCAAGATGGCCTTGAATCCAGTGTGGCAAAGGCAAACACAAGTGCAGTGGCTATAGAAAGCAATATAAAAGCAAACCAAAGCCTCGAGTAAGGAGTGGGGAGGAGATGAAGAATAGGTCAGTTTTGATTTGAGATCTTTGGGTGAATAAGGATTGAACTTCCAGAGCACTTGCAAAGTCTGGCTTATTAGTTCTAAAGGGAGAGGCCTAGCTTAGGGCCTAAGGCCCCTTCCCTTAGTCACACTTCAGTCTTAAGAGAAACAGGTAGAGGTTCAGGAAAAGATGGAAGGAGGTTGGCGGGAAATGGCCAAGGTGAAGACAGACTAATAGGCAGGTAGTGGAGATGATAAAATCCTGGCTTAAGGGATACATTGTTAAAATGAAAACAAAAGTTGCTGAAAGGGAGGACAAGAGAACCCCTTCTTCCCCTAATTGGATCCCGTCAAGTTCCCTCCCTTAAACGTCTTAGAATGATCACATTGGAACAATGAAACTTTGAAACTATCCAGTTACTTAAAGTAAGACTAAACCTAGAAGGGTGATGTATGAAGTGTTGCTTAAGGAGGGCACCATGGCTCCCTATCTATACCCCGGGTGCTGAATATGAAGACTTCGACTATCTGTGGGATCAGGGGCTCGGCTGCCAGGGGCTCGGTGGGCCTTGCTCAGCATGGCCAGGCTCTGTTCTCGGAAGCAGGCCTGTTGGAAATCCCCACTCAGGTAATCCACCGTTTGCATCAAGCTGTTCTGGCTTGCCACTGGACCGCCCCCAGTCCCTGCTCGGTAGTGGGCCCCAGGAGCTGCCGCACAGTCGAGGGGTGCACCTGTGGGCTGCCCACCGTGGAACGGCATGGCAAGGTCCTGAGACCCCGAGCTGTCGCTATTGGGAGTGGGCAGAATGTTGTTCCATAAGGGTTGGAAGTAGTGACCATTGGGGTAGGCCAATGGGGCTGCCAGGCCGTTGACTGGTGGGGATGGGGTCGGCTTCTCCAGGGGTGGCTTCAGATGGAACGACTGTGTCAGGCAGAGTTCCTGCGGGTAGGCAGGGGCCTTACCCACAAAGCCAGGCCCTGCCAACTCACGTCCTGCTGCATGCTTGCCTGTCAGGCCAAGGGCTGGTGCCCCACCAGCCTCGCTGCACATCTGTTGTAGGTGGGCCAGCTGGTGCTGGTTCCAGGCAACTGGCTTGAGGTCGCTAGAGTAGCCAGTGGGGGCTCGAGAGATGCCTGTGGGCAAGTTGACAGGACCTGTGGCAGGCAATGCGGCTGGAGCCGCATGGGTGTGCTCCATGGGATTGACCACACATGAAGGCATTGGTGTGGGGACGCTGTGGGTTGATACCCGAGTGCTTGCATTGATGAGCAGACTGCGACTAATGGGGCTGGGGTTGGCGATCTGGCCCTCACACACTGAGGTAGTGCTGATGCCTGCCCTCGTCTGGCAAAACTGGTTGATCTGGTGCACGATGCTGCTCAGGTCCGGGGGCTGGCTGTGCTGCAGGGTGGCCGCCATTGAAAGGGGGATAGTTGAGGTAGACACGGTCACATTCGGGGGGGCATCTGAGTCTGGCATCTTCCGGCCTCCATGCAGCAAGGGATTGGGGGGGTGCTGGAGACCCTGGTGAGCCAGGGCCTGAGGGTGGACCAAGCCCTGGGTTTGGGCCATGGGCTGAGTGTGGCCCAGGCCCTGAGGCTGCTGGAGGCTCTGAGGGTGAGACAGCGCCTGTGGTGGCGGGATACCCTGAGGGTGCTGCAGCGTCTGGGGAGGGGCATGGGCCAGGGTCTGTGCATGCTGCAGGGCCTGCTGGCGGGCCAGAGCCTGGGCCTGGGGATGGGCTAAAGTGCTTGGTGCCACAGTAGCATAGGGTGCCACTGGGGGGTTCATGATGGCCTCAGGGAGTAACCGGGCTCGGGTGCCGTCAAAGTCCTTGAGTATGCTTTTGGCTGGCACTTTGACAATGGCAAGCAGGCCTGCCTTGGTGGCAGCCTGAGTCGGGTAGGGGCTGTAGCGCTGGGCTGATGTGTCGAGGCCGTTCACAGTACGACGAACGTGTTTCCGCTGGGGAACCTTCACACTGTTGGGGAAGATTTTTATAGTCAGTGGGTTGTTTGCGACCTTCTTAGCATACGCATCCAATTCGGCTGGGGTGGGATAGTGAGCAGTTCTCATTTTCTGTGTAGTGTCCCCTAGAGAGAAAGAGAGGGGAAGGAGAGCAAAGAGGGAGGGAGCTCATCAGTGCCAAGCCAACTAGCCCTTCTAGACTCCCCTGTTGAGATCCTAGGAAAGGGGTGGGGATTAGGTTGTCATCTGCAGCTTTCACTGCAGATTTAGCCTCAGCCCTCATCACAATCATAGGCACTGCTGACATTTAGTATAGTACAGTGGGCCAGGCAGGCCTTGTGTTAAGCGATAGGTTATCTCAATGATCTTCATGACTATTGGAGAAGGTAAGTACTATCATGTCCCCATTTTATAAATGAAAAACTGCAAAGCAGCTTTCTAAGACTCTCATGGTAGAGAGCCAGAACCTAACCAATTCTCACATAGCGCGAGTTCTTCCCCTACATGGAACTTTTAAGTTCCTACCAGCCCAAGCTGATATGGGGGTTGAAGGTTCTAAGCAGAGTAGTATGTCAGGAACACTCAAGTCCCTTCCTATAACACTCTGGTAAAAAGGGTACCCAGAGTGGCTACTGTTCAGCCCGCAATGGCCAGTGAGGCATCAAACTTTCCCTTGAGCCTTCCTTGGCAGCTGGGTGCCATGGGTAGACATGGCACAGCTGACAGGATGCTTCTTTTTCAGGAGCAGAGGAAGAAGCTGTCAATGTCTCTTCCTCATCCATGTCACAAGTTCACTCTTGTTTAAGTTTATTCTGTGCCTTACTGGATGAAGATCAAAAGGCTTTATTTATTTCCCTGTGTGGAGGGTGATAATAAATGACAGGGCAGCAGGGAGGGAACTGAGAAGAAAGGATTCAGAGCATCTTTAAGTCCTGGGAGCCAAAAATAGTTCCTTTTTGGTCCACAGCAACTGTCACTTTCCAAAAAGAAAGAGGAAAACCTGCCTTCCCTTGGAGACTGCGGAAATACCCACTCAATGTGCCTCATTAATGTTAACAGTCTCTTTGTTCCCATCTCCCAGGGCCTCCCATCAGGAGGCTCCAGCGGATGTAGGGCTTCCAAAAAGGAAAAGGTTCCCCGAACAATAGCTCTTTAAGGATGCCTGGCTCCTGCAAGGGATCTCTGCTCAGTGCTCCCTCTCTCAAAGGAGGGGCTCTCCTGAGTATACACAAAAGGTGCTTAATAAGTGCTTGCTGAATGAGAAAGTAAACACACTGACTGCCCAAAGGAGAAGGAAAGTGCTTGGCTGTGGGCCTGGGCTCAGATAGTCGACTCCCTCCCTGTTTCCTCCCTTGCAGAAGACAGACAGGACAGATCAAGGACTCATCTGCTGAATGCCCAGCTTGTGGCCTCAGCTGGCCTTGGCCCAAAGTAGACCCCATTCAAGTCACTGGGCACCAACTGGAAGAAGAGCAAACTAGTGAATGTCTTAAATGGAAAAGGGCACAGCTGCCTATGTTTGGTGACATTGCTGGTTAGCTGGCAACAACTGCTTAGAAACTGCTGCTCTCTGAAGCAGGAAAAGAAAGCTCAAGTTTAGGAGGGACAGGGAAATTTGGTCTCATGCTTAAAAAAAAAAAAAGACAGTCGTAAGTGAAAAGAGAGCATACAGAGAGGAAAAAGGTCTGTTCCTTCAAATACTTAATAGATGTCTCCTATATATTTAAGGACCTGCTTTAAGGACTTACTTTACTTGCTGAGGACAGGATAGATGATCATGCGTAAGTGAAATAAATGTTGTGAATATCTGCTTTGGGAATGGTCATTAAAAAGATAAATATGCCAGGTGTGGTGGCGCACGCTTATAATCCTAGTGACTTGGGAGGCTGAGGCAGGAGGATTGCAAGTTTAAATCCAGCCTCAGCAACTTAGCGAGGCCATAAGCAACTCAGTGAGACCCTGTCTCTAATAAAATATGAAAAAGGGCTGGGGATGTGGCTTGGTGATTAAGTGCCCCCGAGTTCAATCTCTGGTACCACTCCTCCAAAAAAAAAAAAAAAAAGATAAATGTGAGGTGAGGCGTGGTGGCACATGCCTGTAATACCAGCAGCTCAGGAGGCTAAGGCAGGCTGATTAACAGGCTGATCACAAGTTCCAGGCCAGCATCAGCAACTTAGTGAGACACTATTTATAAGTAAAAAATAAAAACGGTTTGGGAACTCAGTGGTTTAGCACCTCTGGGTTCAGTCTGCAGTACAAAACAACAACTAACGGTGACAACTGAGGGCAGGAAGAAGGGGAAGGTAGGGAGGCCCAGAAATCTCCTATCCACAAGGCAGCACTGTCGGATCAGAGTATAAAGCCCTAAAATCAGGGTTTCAGTTCTATCATTTCTTTTAAGCCACTGACCCTAAATGGGCTTCAGTCACCATTCAGAGTGGCTATTTTCTGTCCCTTCTTACAGTCTCCTGGACAAGAATATAATTTAAAAAAAAAAAAGAAGAAGAAGAAGAAGAAGTCTGGGATCACTAAGAGCTAAACTCAGGGCAGCAGAATTCTAGCACAAGTTGCCCCGATTAGCCACTGTACATAAGAGTCTGACTGGTCAGAATCATGAGATAATCCTAGCATTGTGCCTTACCCGAAACAGACACAATTAGTATAAGTACTACATGACTGAACAAGTGGGGCTCAGCTGAGGAATGAAAGGCAGAAGCTGCAGGGTATTAGTTCAGACATGAAATACAGGTCTGCCTTCGGGTCCTCAACACCACTTCCACGTAGGTGGGCTTTTCTCCTTGAAATCCAATTAGTGGGCAGAGGTACAATAAGTAGCTTCTTGAATAAGAGTTCCTTTCTTCCAACTCTCAGGTTGGTTTTCTCTGTAAGAGGAAAGAGGTCAGGTTGGCCTCATTCAGGAATATGGAAAGGATACTTAATGATACTGATTAGTTCTCTCTCTCCTACCTTCACTGATGCTGGCAGTAGTAACAAGGACAGTCAAATGAAGCAATCAGAAATAAAGAAAAATAAGGGTGGGAAAGGTGCGCACAAGGTACATACAGAATCCTTCCCCTCACCCTCAGTAGGGTGGAATGACTGAACCCAGGGGTGCTCTACCAACTGAGCTGCAACCCCAGTCCTTTCATTTTTGAGTCAGTGCCTCAGTAAGTTGCCCAGGTTGGCCTTAGACTTGGAATCCTCCTGCTTCAGCCTCCTGAGCCACTCTTTTTTCCTTCTTCTTTTTTGTTTTATTTTGTATCAGAGATTGAACCCAGGGGTGCTTAACCACTATGCCATGTCCCTAGCACCTCTATCCCTTTTTCTTGGAACCAGGGATTGAGTGAGGAGTAGAATTCTTAGGTCATGAAATTGTTTTGAAATTTTCACCAAATTAAAAAAAAAAAATAGAAGAATGCTGGGTATACAATAGATATTCCATTATTATGAGAAAAATGTTCATATCAAATTAGGTTTTTTTTTTGGGGGGGGGTGCTGGTACTGGGGTTAAACCTAAGGGTGCTTAACCTTTCTTTCCTTCTTTCTTTCTTTGAGATGGGGTCTTACTATGTTGCCCAGGCTGGCTTTGAACTCCACGATACTCCTAACTCAGCCTTCCAAGTATCTGGAACTACAGAAGCATTCAACCACAACCAGCTTCTTTCTCAAAACTTTCTTATCACATCCCACACAAGCATGTTGGCACCTTCCTTCTGTAAAATATTCCTTTTTATAATCAACACAAATACCATAGTTCTGTAAGAAATTTAGTTAAATATCTGGAACCAATGGTGTCATTAATAGAGATATAAAATAGTGTTATGAATTAGGATTCCATGGTTAGAAAACACTATGGTCTTGTCCAGGAGCTAGAGTAAAAAAAAATCTTGAATCCGGGGCTGGGGCTGGGGCTGTAGTTCAGTGGCTGAGCTCTTGCTTAACATATGTGAGGCACTGGGTTCAATCCTTAGCACCACAAAAAAATAAACAAAATTATGCTATCCACTGATAACTTAAAAAAAAAAAATTAAAACAAAAATCTTGAATCTAATCTTCCCTAAAGAGACTGCTCTGCTTACTCATCTATTCTAAAGGCCAAAAGACTGGAGAGAAACAGGCAAGTGTGTTTTAAACACAGGCTTTGGAGACTGATCTGATTAAGTTTTGGCCTAGTCATTGACACAGACAAATGACAAACCCTTTATGGCTCATCCTTAAAAGAAAAATAAGAGAACCAGTAATCCTAGTGACTCGGGAGGCTGAAGCAAAAGAATTCCAAGTTCAAGGCCAGTCTCAGCAATTTGGCAACTAAACAACTTAGTGAGACCCTGTTTCAAAACAGAACAGGGCTGGATATGATGGTGAACACCTGTAATCCCAGTGACTTGGGAGACTGAGGCAGGTGGATTGCAAATTTGAGGCCAGTATCAGCAACCTACTGAGGCCCTAAGCAATTTAGCAAGACCCAGTCTCCAAAAACAGTCTGGGGATGTAGCTTAGTAGTAAAACACCACTAGGTGTAATCCCTAGTACCAAAATGAAAAAAAAGAAGGAAGGAAGGAGAGTCTCTTATATAATATTATTAAGGAATGAATGAGAACATATGGCTGGGTGCAGTGATGTATGCCTGCAATCCCAGCTACTTGGGAGGGTAAGGCAGGAGGATAACTTGAGCACCTAGGAGTTTGTGACTAGCTTGAGCAACATAGTGTCTCCTCATCTTTAAAAAAAAAAAAAGGGGGGGAGAGAGAGAGAGGGAGGGAGGGCGAGAGCGCACACACACAAGCTGGATGTGTTGGCACACACCTGTAGTTCCATCACAGTAACCTGGGAGGTCAGGCAAGGAGCAGACACTGTATCAATTGAAAAAAAAAAAAAAAAGCTGGGTTTAGTGGTGTATGCCTATAACCCAAAGGCTTGGGAGGCTGAGATAGGAGAATTCCAAGTTCAAGACCAGCCTCAGCAACTCAGTGAGACCCTAAGCAACTTAGCAAGATACTGTCTCAAAATAAAAAATAAAAAGGGCTAGAGATGTGCTCAGTGGTAAAACACCACTGGGTTCAATCCTCAGTACCAAAAAATTTTAGAAATAATTTATTTTCTTTTTAATTTAAAAAGGATTGGGGCTGTAGCTCAGTGCTTGCCTAGCATGTGTGACACAGTGGATTCAATCCCTAGTACCATCCAAACCACCCCCCAAATCAAACCAAACAAATGAACAAGAATCTGTACTGAAGACATTAAACATAGCATATGGCACATGTCTAGCAGTCAACAAATGTTAGCTATTATTTCTAACAGTAATGAATTGATCCAGTCATTGGGTAAATAACCCATTCCAGGGCCCTCCACTAGGGGGTAGATAGGCATCTAAAGTGGTAAAAGGTAACTTGGGCATTTGTCCCAAGACCTCTAAGTCTCTGCCATAAAGTGGGATCAGTTATTATCTAAAAGATGGAGTGAGGACCAAGGACTTTTGACCATTTCAGCCATTTTCACAGTGAATACTTTATGAGCCACTATTATATACCTGGATCCTGAGCTGGGGAAATGAGCAGAGGTTTGGCAAGGGTAAGGAAGAAAAACTTTCAAAATCACATTTTATTGGCCATTTTAGAAGATGGTCAGAGAAAAAGTACAGAGTTCTAAAATAGCTGAAGACTCTTAAATGACACTATGGCATTTCTAGAAGAGTTCCATGAAAGCATCCACGTATAATCCCAGTGACTCAGGAGGCTAAGGCAGAGGACCGCAACTTCAAGACCAACCTGGGCAACTTAGTGAGACCAGCCTCAAAATAAAAATTAGAAGGACTGGGGATATAGCTCAATGGGAAAGTGATCCTGGGTTCAGTCCTCAGTACCCTGCACAAACACACACATAAAATGATGGGAAATGTTTTATATTCACACACACACACAGAAAAGGAAGGGGAGAAAAGGACAAAGGGAAGGAGAAGAAAAGAGTTAGAAAGGATCAGTCCTACCATTTTGAACACAAGGGCACTGAACCCTGGAGAAAAGCCTTTAGCCAAATGACTTCACATGCTGGGCCAAGAAAACTACATACTACATCTCCTGACACTTTGTCCACCTCCACTACCTTGCTACCTTCAGATGATTCTTTATTTTTTCCTTTTCCTTTCCCTCCCTTCGTTTCTTCCTTTGCAGTGCTAGGGATTAAAACTGGCTCCCTGTGCATAGTAGGCAAGTGCTCTACCCCCGAGTTAAATCCTGAGCCCAAGATAAATCAAAATATAAAGTACCTTAAGCTATAAACACCTGTGCACCATTCTATTCCCCCAATCTGTGTCTAGCAATTTGTAAAACCTGTCTGAAGGGCTAGGAATGTGGCTCACTGGGAGAGTACATGCCTAGAATGTGTGAAGCCCTGAATTCAATTCCTAATACCCCAGGGGAGGGGAAAAACAAACAAACAAAAAAACCTCACACCCTCCTAAGGATGTAGGATAGAAAAAGGATAAATAGCAGAGTCTAAAAAATATTTTTGCTTTTTGTGCTGTGGACTAAATAAACTTAGAGCCTCCAGCATGCTATAAGCATTCAAGCATTTTATTATTGAGTAATACAACCAGCCCAAGCCACAAAACTATTTTTATGGGGGGCTGGGGTGGTGGCTCAGTGGTAGAGTGCTTGCCTAGCACATGCGAGGCCCTGGGTTTGCTCCTCAGCACCATATAAAAATAAATAAATAAAGGTATTGTGTCCTACTTCAACTAAAAAATAAATATCTAAAAAAAAAAAAAAAATTTTTTTATTTACTACAGCTGATGGGCCTGGGCTTTGGTTACTGGGCTCCATATTACCTTAACTGTAACTGTTTAATGGTAGCAGGTATAAGTCACATTATAGGATGTTTTCTTTGAGGGGTGAAAAAAGAAAGCAGGTAAGCTTATTAAGCACTATTAAATCACCTCTTCTGCAAAGGTTGGATATGTTTTTTTTTTTAATTTTTTTTTTTTTAATAATATTTATTTTTCAGTTCTCGGCGTACACAACATCTTTTGTTTGTATGTGGTGCTGAGGATCGAACCCGGGCCGCACACATGCTAGGCGAGCGCGCTACCGCTTGAGCCACATCCCCAGCCCAAGGTTGGATATGTTTAATGATAGTAACAAGAAGGCTAGAGGGGATCAAATACATATCCTCCATATGAAATATAATAGCCTGAAACAATAATATCTCAGTATGTGTGTGTCTGTGTGTATGTTGTTGGGGATCAAACCAGAGCTTCATGCATGCCCATATCTTAATTCTTTTTTTTTTTTTTAGCGGGGGGTGGGGGGGTACTGGGGATTGAACTCAGGGGCACTAAACCACTGAGCCATATCCCAAGCCCTACTTTGTACTGAGTCTCACCGAGTTGCTTAGTGCCTCACTGTTGCTGAGGGTGGCTTTGAACTCGTGATCCTTCTGTCTCAGCCTCCAGAGCCTCTGGGATTACAGGCACGAGCCCTTGAACCCTGCCAATATCTCAATTCTTAAATCCATAGCTAAAGACAGTGGTTATCAGAGGCTATTTGGGGCTGCTTTTAGGAAAACAAAGTGGAGATCTAAAGTCAGCATCAAGTGGTGCACACTTGTAATGCCAGTAACTTGGGAGGCTGAGGCAGGAAGACAAGTTCAAAGCCAGCCTTGGCAATGTAGCAAGACCCTGTCTCAAAATAAAAAATAAAAGGGCTAGGGATATAGTTCAGTGGTAAAGCACCCCTAGGTTCAATCCCCAGTCTCTCAAAAAAATTATAAATAAATAGTCAACACCATTTGCATTTTCCCTTAAATGGCTCTTCCCTTGATATATCTCTGAGTGAAGTTGCTGTAGTGTGTTAAGCAATCTAGAAAAAAAAGAGTTTTCTCTTTGTCATCTTATTGTATGTATCCAAGTATATTTCCTCTCCAATTGTGCCTAAAAGCTTAGAACTGGGCACAATGAAGTTAATGTGATGATTTGGATGACGATGGAAAACAAAATTTCATCACTAAATTATCATTCATAAAAGAAAGGCTAGGTATACCTCTCAGTAGTTAGAGCAATTACTAGGATGAGTCAGGCCCTGGGTTCAGTCCTCAGCACTGCAAAACAAAAAAAAATTTTTTTTTTTTTGGAAAGTGAGAGAAAGGCTGAGTTCATCAAAGCTGGTATTAGAGAACTGGCTTATATATTAGGGAGTTGTAGAAGAAAACTGTCACCTTCAGCTTTGTCCTTTCACAAAACTAGATTTGTCAGACAAATTCAAAACTATCAGGTTCTGAGTCTTATGCTCTCTCAAAAGGCTAGTTTTTTGTTTTCCAATGTGTATGTGGGGTGCTAGGGATTGAACCTAGGGCTTTGCCCATGCTAGGCACATGCTCTACCTCTGAATTATACAGTCCAAAACTAGACCACTTTTAACTTCTGATGATCTCGTAGAACAGGGGTGGCAAACTACAGCCTGTATGCCAACTCCAGCTGTTTTTTGTAAAAATTTTTATTGGAGGGCTGGGTTGTCATTCAGTGTATGTGAGGCACTGGGTTCGACTGTCAGCACCTCATATAAATAAATAAATAAAAATAGGGGCTGGGGTTGTGGCTCAGCAGTATAGTGCCTGCCTAGCACATGTGAGGCCCTGGGTTCAATCCTCGGCACCACATAAGAATAAATAAATAAAATAAAGGTATTGTGTCCAACTACAACTAAAAAATATTTTTTAAAAAAATAAAAATATGCCCTTCAAATAGATGAATGGATTAAAAAAATGTGGCATTTATACACAATGGAATATTACTCAGCACTAAAAAATTACAAGATCATGGCATTTGCAGGCAAATGGATGGCATTAGAGCAGATTATGCTAAGTGAAGTTAGCCAATCCCTAAAAACAAATGCGAAATGTCTTCTCTGATATAAGGGGGGTGACTCAAAATGGGATAGGGAGGAAGAGCATGAGAAGACTACCACTAAATAGGGAAGAGAGGTGAGAGGGAAAAAGAAGGAGAAGGGGAGTTGCACAGAAGATGGAAGGAGAACCTCATTGTTATACAGAATACATATAAGAAGTTGTGATGAGAAAAAGAAAAAAAAGTGTGTCACATTAGATTGGATAGAGAGAAAGGTTGGGAGAGGAGGGGAGGAGTAGGGGGGATAGGAAGGGCAGCAGAATAGAATAGACATTATTATTGATATATGTACATTCCATGTATGTATTATATGACAAAATACATTCTGCTGTTATGTATGACTAAAAAAAATAAAAATAAATCATATGGTTAAAAAAAAAGAATAAAATTTTAAAGACCTATAAAAAAAATAAAAATAAAATAAAGGTCCATCAGCAACTAAAAAATAATTTTAAACATTTTTTTATTGGAACATACATATTCCTTTGTTTACATATTGTCTATGGTTGTCTTTGCCCTACAATGGCAGAACTGAATATACAGAGACTATGTGGCCCACAAACCAAAAACTATTTTCAATCTGGCCTTTATAAAAAAAAAGTTTAAGGCTCAGCGTTAGAGTGCTCGCCTAGCATGTGCGAGGAGGCCCTGGGTTCAATCCTCAGCACCACATAAAAAATAAATAAAATAAAGGTATTGTGTGCAACTACAATTAAAAAATAAATATATTTTAAAAAAAAGTTTGGTAAATTTTGTTTTGTTTTGGGGACTGTACATGGCACTCAGCTATATACCCAGACCTTTTTATTTTGAGGCAGGGTCTTGCTAAATTGCCCAGGGTGGCCTTGAACCTGCAATCCTCCTGCCTTAGCTTCCCCAATTGCTGGGATTACAGGCATGCACTACCACACCCACCTTGCTAATTCTTGTAAAGGATTCAGCTAAGATGCTGAAGCACTCTGTTCTATTAAAGGAAAACCTCACTACCTCATTGATATCCCCTTTTGTGTTCTGAGGGGAGGGTTCACACCAAATTCAAAGCTGTTTTTATATCTGATATTATATGTAATAATTAGCCAAGAATAGAATATTTTTCTTGCATGTCATGTAGTGCAGGGATAGAAGGCAAGAATCTGGGAAAATGTGAACTACAATGATCCAATTTAAGTAATTAAGACAGGAATCTAACAGTTCTCAAAGGCTCAATCCTATGGGAATTATACTAGCAGGCAAATGCCCAGAGAGGCTGAGAAAGCTAGCTCACAACTCTTCAGAGGACAAGAGTTCCTTTACTTACTGTGAACTGAAGTCACACTGGCTCAGAAGGCAGACAACAAAACCAAAGGGAACTATCTGTTTCCATGGTAAAGTGAACACAGGTCAAAACAACACAACAGTGTAAATAGTTTACTTCAGAAATACGGTAAGTAATCTGGACTATAAGTTTTCATCCAGTTCCTCAGGGGGTTAACTGAAACATGTTTTTGAAGGGTACGTATCTTATAAAGCACCTTATATCTTTGTTGTTCAACAGAAACATATTAGTAACAATTAAGATCACATAAACTGAAGAACTGTAGTATTTAAGAGGATTTCTGTAAGATATAAAAGTTATCTCACATTGCTGACAGGTAAGGGCCTTTGCAACTGCTCTCCTGACAAATACCTTGGAGGTACAAAATTCAAAATCAACGTGCCCCAGATATGCCTCTGGGATAACTCACATGTAGGGACTAAACAAAGGATCACACATCCTTTCTTGGGGATCCAGATTACTTACATTTCTGAAGTCCAGTGTTCATCTGCGTGTGAGAAAGAAGCTGAAAGGACAGGTCACCTGGCCCTGGTAAACAGGCTAGCATGGCAGACCAGCATCAACACAACATGGGGCAGTGGCTCACACTGTAATGACAAAAAAACAAGGTCATGGAACACAAGGCAATTCATTCAGGGAAGATACCAGGGACATCAGATATGCGCAGCACAGGCCCAAGTTTAAGTAGATAAGCAATTTAATTAACAGTATGTTTGCTGAATAATATATCGACATGTTTATCTGTAGCACCAACCATTCTGATGGCTAAAATGTTATTTCATTCAGCATAGATGTACGAGTGGAAAAAATACCTATTCACACAAATAATTGGAAAATACAGGTATATTTGTAAAGTTTCCACTTTCTTAACAAGTACTAGAACTTACAGTAAGATGACTAACAAAGGCACCCAAAATCCAACTTGTGATCTGGTCATCAAACCTAACTCACTTTTAAAATAAAGGAGTCGGGTGCAATGGATCACGCCTGTAACCCCAGTGACTAGGGAGGTTAACCCAGGAGGATTACAAGTTGAAAGCCAACTTCAGCAACTTAGCAAGATCCCATCTCAAAATAAAAGAAATAAAAGGGGGACTCGGGTGTAGCTCAGTGGTAGAGTGTGTGCCTGGTACATGTGAGGCACTGCTAAGTTCGATCCTTAGCACCACATAAAAATAAAAAAAAATAAAACAAAGGTATTGTGTCCATCTACAACTTTAAAGGGACTAGGGCCAGGTGTCGTGGTGCATGACTGTAATCTCAGCCTCTCAGAAGGCTGAGGCGGTAGGATCACAAGTTCAAAGCCAGCCTCAGCAAAAGCAAGGCACTAAGCAGCTCATTGAGACCCCCTCTCTAAAAACAATAGCGCTAGGGACATGTCTCAGTGGTCAAGTTCAATCCTCGGTAAGGAAAAGAAAAAAGAAAAAAAGATTGGGATGGGTATGGTGGTGCATGCCTATAATCTCAATAGCTTGGGAGGCCGAGGCAGGAGGATTGTGAGTTCAAAGCTAGCCTCAGCAATTTAGCAAAGCCCCGTCTCAAAATAAAAAATCAAAAGGGTGGTGATGTGGCTCAGTTGTTAAGCATCTTTGGGTTCAAACCCTGGTATCAAAATAAATGAATGAAAATCAAAAACAAAGAAATAAAACCAAGAAGGAACAAAGAATCCTAGGACATCCAATTAACTGGTTTTATTGTTGTTGGTTTTTTTTTTTTTTTTGGCTTTTGCTGAGGCTGCCTTTGAACTCCCTATCCTCCTGCTTTAGACTCCCAAGCCACTGGGATTACAGGCATGTGCCACTGTGCCTGGTGCACACCCACACACACACACTTTTTGTGTGTGTATGTGTGTGGTATTGGGGATTGAACCCAGGGCTTTATGCGTTCGAAGCAAGCACTGTACCAATTGAGCTATATCCCCAGCCCCCCTGGAGCCCTTTTCATTTTTTAAATTTTGAAATAGGGTCTCTCTAAATTGCTTAGGGTCTTGATAAGTTGCTGTGGCTGGCCCTCAAACTTGTGATTCTTCTGTCTCAGCCTCCCATTATAGGTGTGCACCACCACACCCAGCTATAATTAACCACTTTTTAAAAAGATATTTATTTTTTAGTTTTAGGTGGACACAATATCTTTATTTTATTTTTAATGTGGTGCTGAGAATCGAACTCAGTGCCTCATGCATGCTAGGTGAGCGCGCTACCACTTGAGCCACATCCCCAACCCCTAATTAACCACTTTTAAAGCAAAATTTACTTGTAAATTTTGAAGAATTCATCTTTTGTATCATGTTTCACACAATTAGGCTTCCTGGACCCCCCAAAAAAAGAAAGGGGAGGGCATTGCTCCTAGGTTGCCAGCAGCCCCCTCTGGGTAGGTAATACTAACATTATGTCAAAATGGTATGGACTACTGCTAGGTGTGGGGCTGCACATTTGCAATCCCAACTACTTGGAAGCCTAAGGCAGGAGGCTGACAAGTTTTAAGGCTGGCCAGGGCAACTTAGTGAGACCCTGTCTCACAATAAAGATTTTAAAAGGGATAGTGATATAGATCTGTGGAAAAGCACTTGCCTCTCAAGCATAAGGCCCTCCTAGGTTCAATCACCAGTACCACAAAAAAAAAAAAAAAAAAAAAAAAAAAAGATTTAATTGGTGTTGTGTAGCAAAGAGACATATACAACCCAAACATACAACTCTGCTGTAGTGAAGGAAGTATTATCAACAATGCAAGCTCCTATGTACCTGGAAACAAGCTTTTCTCAAATTAAGTAGATTACAGTAAAATACATGAACTTCCTTCCCAATACTACAAAACCCAGAAACCATGATGGCGTATTATGGTTTAGATTACTACAAAAAGGGAGAGTGCTCAAAAATTAAACAAAGGCCTCAAAATCTCTTTATTTCCCTTAGAGGATTCTCTCAGGTATGTGAAACTACTCGTCATGATGAATATCTTAGAGCTCTAGCTTGCAAGACCAGGAAACCGAAAAGACACTTTATAAAAGGGAATGCTTAAACTGCATCTAAGATAGCAACTGCATAAAGAACTGAAGATTTGGATGCCTCAATGAGAACAGAACTGCCCAAGAGTTTTGTTTTTTTGGAGGGCACAGATTCGATCTTAAGTCTCTAGTGAGTGGGACAACAGAATGAACACATTGTGCCAACTGCAGAGCCTCAAGAAATAAAATGTCTTCTGTTGGGGTCAAATGACCAAGGTGATGCTTATTACAATCCCTTCTCTTGTGAATGCTGATGTCTATTTAATAACTTCTCCCTTATGGTTCTATACAGCTGAGGGCAAAATTCAAGGAAAGGAAAGTTATTAACAAACTGAAATGTGTTATATAAGGACATTTTAGTCAATTACAGTTGGCAAATATGATGGTGATCCCATAAGATTATAATGGAGCTGAAAAAACTGTTTTTGCCTAGTACTCTTACTGTAACTTCATAATAAAGAGATTATGATTTTGATGATGATGGTGGTGGTGGAGGAGGAGGAGGAGGAGGAGGAGGAGGAGGAAGGGAAGACTGGAGAAAAACAAAACTTGAACAGTAGCTATTATTTGGGCAGAAATTTTTCTTTATACTTTGGCACTTACATTATTTCTATAAATAAGTTTAAAATAAGGAAAAATTTTCAGGCATGATGGTGCACACCTGTGCATGCACCGTCCCAATGACTCAGAAGGCTAGGGCAAGAAGATCAGAAGTTCTGGGTCAGGCTCAACAAATCAGGGAGACCCTCAGCAACTTAGACCATGTCTCCAAATAAAAAATTAAAATGGGGTAAAGATGTAGAGCAGTGGTAAAGTGCACCAGAGTTAAATCCCCAGTACCAAATAATAATAATAAATACAAATAAAGAAAAATTTACCAAACTCAAACCCTCAAACCTAAGAGCAATGTTCACATGTGGATTGCTGATACTCTGATAATGAAAGTTCAAAGCAGACATTCACTCAGCAGTCTTGCAGATACCACTCTGTCCCTGCACATTTTTTGTGTGTTTATTTATTTTATTTGATACTGAGAATCAAACCCAGTGCCTCATTACATGCTAGGCAAGAGCTCTACCACTGAGCCACAAACCTCCCCCGCCCTGCACTTTTTTGTTGTTGTTGTTTTAATTTGTTATACGTGACAGCAGAATGCATTTTGATTCATAGTACACAAATGGGGCACAATTTTTCATTTCTCTATTGTACAAATAGTAGAATCACACCATTCATTTGTTCATACATGTATCCCCTCTGCACTTTATATATGCGCATATATATATATATATATATATATATATATATATATATTTTTTTTTTTAGTTGTAGTTGGACACACAACCTTTATTTTATTTATTTATTTTTATGTGGTGCTGAGGATTAAACCCAGGGCCTCACGCGTGCTAGGTAAGCACTCTACCACTGAGCCACAACCCCAGCCCCACCCCTGCACTTTTTAATAATTTGTTTTCCAATATTGGGAATTTTTTTAGTTTAATGATCTTAATTGGCTCTGTTTTTTTAATCCTAGAATTAAAGGCAACACTTCATTCCATACAATAACAGAATAAGGTTTCTTAGATTTCTCTCCTCCTACAACCCAGAGACACACTTATTTAGAAAAACAGATATATATTTAAGGCAGAATCTATCCCTTGAAGCTTCCTGGCTTGCAGAGGTTGTAATCAAACAGGAAAAAAGCAACTTCCCTCCACAACCCATTCTAGAAAGCAGAGATGTCAGTATAAAGCATTCTCCCTTGCGAGCTATCTCAAGGAAGAGATATATTTTGAGGTAAAATGAGAAATATATGTTCAAAGGAGAATGTGGGTCATCTTGAGAGTGAGAAGCTTTTGGAGTAAAGCAAAGAATTCACATTCAAGGGAGAATATCCACCATTCCCAGAGGGAGAGAGCAACCCTAGAATACTTTTGAGCTCTCACTGGCATCCCTCTGGGTTGTTAAATATAGAAATTCTAATTTGTGATACCCCCTCCCCCATTTTTAAGAGTTCTGGGATCCATCTGCCATCCTTTCCAAAAGACTGCCTTCAATGCTAAGGGAGGCTTCAAGCCCCTTGACCAGTTTTGCTCATGTCAAGAATCAAATCCTGCTAGGGCAGGGAAGAAATGGAATGGACTCAAGACTGTGAAGTTTATAGGGGCTGTGATTAAAAAGGAAAAAAGTAGGCTAGGGTTGTAGCTCAGTGTTTGAGCTCTTGCTTCACATGCATGAGGCACTGGGTTTGTTCCTCAGCACCATATAAAAAATAAACAAGTAAAACAAAGATATTGTGTCCATCTACAACTAAAATAATAATAATAATAATAATAAAAGGAATAAAGCAAGTTTCCTCCACAACTCATTCTAGAAAGCTGAGATGTCAGTATAAAGTATTCCTCTAGACCCTCAGAGTTATACAAAAGTACATACAAGAGGAAGTGAGGGGAAAGGGAAAAATAATACAAGGGGGACAAATGAATGTCAGTAGAGGGGGCAGAGAGAGAACAGGGGAGGGGAGGGGAGGGGAGGGGAGGGGAGGGGGGATAGTAGAGGATAGGAAAGGCAGCAGAA